ACGCCAGTACACAGATAAACACAGTTTTCCACAAAGAGAGTTGATAGTCTACTACAATAGAGGGCGCTATTTTTTTACAGATTTATTAGTTGTAATGACAATGGAGTTATGGCCACCTTCCGCTTTATACAGCTTTTAGCGTAGAAACATTATGAAATAGTAAAGATTATTGTCAAATTAAACATATTCTACATCTACAAATGTTTGGTTAGATGTTTCTTAAATTAATTAATATTACGTTTAATATCGTTTAAAATTAATAATTGTAATCAATGAATGTGTTAATGAGAGTTATTTACTTGTTTAGGAAAAGGTCAAACCCTCAATATTTTTGAACCCAAGGCTTATCTTCAGACAAATACTTGACCGTGTCGACATACTTGTAAACATAATGGAATATAGATGATACCTATAGGTAATTGGGTCGAGATCTTATCTTAAGACCAAACGATTCAAAATTCGTAGACCATAAAGAGCATAATTCATTATTATTGAATCAATCGACAAAGCTATGAATCGTTACTATGCAGATACTCATAAGTCCGTATACTTACTGGGTTGGGTGTTAAATACCACCGCACTTTTTTGACGATACTAATTATCTAGGAGTGTCCGGGGGACCTTCATTGGAACACCTCCAAGTGAGTTTTGCTCCGGAAACGCGTCTAAATATTTTTATAAAAAATTTAAAGTTTTGTGTAATGTATTAAAATTTGTAAACAATCCGCCATTTTCTACTTTTCTATTGGTTATAAGTGATGTGACGTTCACTTAAAAAAATCGTGTTTTTAATTTATCGATTGTTAATAATCGTTTTATTTATTTATCGATTATTTCCTCATTTTTGAAATTTAAAGTTATAGAATAATCAACATTGAAATTAACCTAATTTCGAATAGATTATAGGGTTCCGAAATTTTTGAAATTATCGATACCTACTCGTCTGTATTTTCTAATTAGTACTTGTATTTCATTGTTTGCAACTTTCTATATTATTTAATTTTTACTAGAATAAAGTGTTTACTTTAATATCCAAAAAGTACCCAAAACCGAATCAGAGCACCCCACTATCCACGTGGTCTTGTCTGTCTTACCCCTAGAGTGTATATAAATAATCGGAGGCGCGGAGGAAGAGCAGCCCCCACCCGCTGTAACAAAGCACAGGCATTATGAAAGCTGTAGCGGCTGAAGCTGGTCGCCGAAGGCGACCAAAAAGCCGAGGTTGCGGAGGCTTGAATAAAATGCCTGTGCTTTGGTACGCAAGGGTGGAGGGGCTGCATTTCCCGTAGCGCCGGAGCTGTCCACAAAAACAAATATTATTTAGATTGGTTAGGTTAGAGTTAGTATATGAATATTTGGTCGCCGAAGGCGACCAGGACGCCGAGAAGCCGAGGCTTGAATAAACAATTACTATTTAGATCGGAGCTGTCCACAAAAAAAAATATTATTTAGATTGGTTAGGTTAGAGTTAGTATATGAATATTTGGTCGCCGAAGGCGACCAGGACGCCGAGAAGCCGAGGCTTGAATAAACAATTACTATTTAGATCGGAGCTGTCCACAAAAAAAAAATATTATTTAGATTGGTTAGGTTAGAGTTAGTATATGAATATTTGGTCGCCGAAGGCGACCAGGACGCCGAGAAGCCGAGGCTTGAATAAACAATTACTATTTAGATCGGAGCTGTCCACAAAAACAAATATTATTTAGATTGGTTAGGTTAGAGTTAGTATATGAATATTTGGTCGCCGAATTTTCAATTATTTTTAATATAAAAATTGAATACAAAAATCGATTTTCACTTTTAAAAAAAATCGATTATTTTTCACATCCCTATTAATTTTATAAACTTAATCGGCCATTTTGAATGTGGTTTATGCTAGACTAGCGGTAATTAGTTTTACAGTGCAAAGTTTACTTTATAAATCTTTATAAAATTTTTGACGCGTTTCCGGAGCAAAACTCACTTGGAGGTGTTCCAATGAAGGTCCTCCGAGACTCCTAAATAATTAGTATCGTCAAAAAAGTGCGATGGTATTCAAAACTGTTACCTACTTACTTCTCACCTGTAATAATTAATAAAACTAAGCTTATGATTTTTACCAAAAGTTTCTCAGTCTCCTTATTGTATCGTATAGGCGAGAAAGTATTTATAAATATATTATAATAACATCGATTTGTACTGCAATCAAATCTTGCCCAATTAGGTACATTGTCAATAAATTAATACACAGTACACTGTCGTCAACATGTGTTAAGCTATGTAAAGAGAGATAAGTGCTTTTGTGAGATTTAGTAATGAAGAGGTTAAAAATACTCGTCGCAGCGTTCGCGTAGTATAAATGCATAGTGCCTTTACTATAGATATACATAACATACCTATGTTCTTGTTAGGGGCGAAGTAAGTGAAGTATATTCTTAGGGCTGGCTTGGCATAATCCAATTTAGTATTATATTACTCCCTTGTTAGTAAAAGAAAGTAGTACTTAATATGAAACTAGAAACATTTTAGAATTTAAAACGACCTTTTAGAATGCGTAATTTAAAAACTGGGACCCTAATTTTATTTAAACTGTTTAGTTGCGAAATGAATGTTATTTTAATAATTGGATCAATAAAGTATTTTGTATCTACACATCCTTCTCAGATATAAAAAAATCAAGTTTTTCAGATACCTTGGAATGCTTCCCATATTGGAATGTTCCCCTCAGGCTTTCGATCGATCCCGTAGAACATTCATCATACCACTTAATATTCGTTTTAAATGCGTTTTATTCTTATGTTAGCGTACCAAGTTATCTTATGATACTGTTGTAATTTAATATATTACGTTATTGTATATTTTCATACAAAGGTTCATTTATTTCACATTAGACTTTAAAACATAGGTATATAGGTAATAAAACCTAAATTATTTTAACACGTAAACAAAAATTTTATTCAATAAATTTTGTTTATCTAACCTATTTATAGACAAACTTATATTTATATTACTTATAAAAACTCTACTGGGGAATAAAAGAAACTCTTGAAATCTTGAAAGGTAAAACAATACTAAAAAAGTTTTTGTATGGTAATGACCTCTATTTGATTAAACCTGGTTAAGCTGAAACTTCGAACCCTACATTATGTTTTACGGTTCCTTTAAGCGAGCGGACCCTTCCTTTAAGTATCTTTCCATCATGTAACGTTTAAAAATACAATAAAATTAGAATATCGTCGTTAGTCACTATCACCCTAACTTGTAAGATATTAATTACTTATTACTTTTAGACTTACTCCTTTAGACTACTCCATAAGTATATTAAAATATGAACGTCATTATATTTATCTGCAACTCTCTCTGAGACAAATAAAATATACGCTGTGAAAAAAAAATAACCTCATGTTCAACCAACAAATTCAGTTTATGTAAATATTTATTTAATTATATTATGTTCACCCTTTTGAAAATAAAATATTTTAGATGTTTGGACGTAAGAATAACAAAAATGCCTTTTAACCTAGTCCAGATTAGCTTTTATTCTAAAAACAGTAATTATTCATATTTTTTTCTATTAACTTATAAATAATCTTACCTTAAACAGTGTACGCAATTATACGATTACACACTCACAAAATGCGTCTTCACGTCGTCGCTGCTACGTATCTACTGACGCACCCCAGTTCGCGTCCCTCTCAGACAGCTACGACATTGCTACGAAACATTCAAGGCCTTTGATTTATACGATTTTCAGGTTAAGGGCTTTTCTTGGCAGTATTCTTGAACAATAACTTATCGGATTCGTTGGATAAAGAAAAATCGGTTTGAGACGTGTCACATTTATCATAACGCCGTAGTTCAAATATGTTTTTGTTGTTATTAATACAATTGCCTAACAGTAAGTAGTGTTATTTGTGAACAAAGAAGTAAAATCTAACCAAAGTACACTTTGGTCTACAAAAACATATAGCAAAATGTATCCATTGCTATTCAAGTGAAAGCACAAACAAGACTTCTTGCTTGCAACCAAAAATTCAAGCTTGCAATTAAGTGAAGTCGATGTTTATCGGCGTAGATAACCAGTCTGATTCTTATATTTAAAAAGGTTTTTTTTACATATTAAAGGAGTTTTATATTATGTAAGTTAAATAAGGGTTATACTTTATATTTAACTTAAATATTAAAGTAGCTTAATACTTAAGTTAACCTCTCGTTATGGCTCGAAGACGATGGACCATTTCTGTAAAAATACAGTTAAATACAGTAGTTTTCATTGATATTATACAATCTTTGCGTTATCCAAAGAGTTTTGCACTTCTTGCCAATTAAAAAAAATCCTCACAATTTCTTTTTTATGCAGGTTTCATAGAAGGCAACAACGATATTTATTTCTTTAAATTGAAATGAGTTTCTTGTTATTTAACAAATGCAATGCAGTGTTATTATAATACTTTTTATGTACTTTATTCAATTTTTTTTTTATTTAGTTTTCATTATACTAAATACTACTAATTCTTAGTTTTATTCAAATAATACGGAATATTTCTGTCAGTCAGAGGTTCCTTGAAAAAAACTTTTTCTTTTTAATAGAATAATTATTATAATAACTGCTTACAGTATACCAAAATTGAGTATAATATAATCGTGGGCTCATGGAATAGAAATATAATATTTAAAAAGTGACAATATGGAATGTAGCGTTGTGAAGACAAGAACAAATATATTTCATGTCTAATGTTTCTGCTTACAATTAAATTGTAAACAAGATAAAGACTATTTTAATTATTTTATATTTTTATTAATATACCTTAATAACCTTAATACTTTAACAAAACATAAAAAAATATACAAAATTGAAGTGTTCGCTCGCACATTACGCTTTAAAGCACAACGAGACAAGTATTTAAGACTAGTATTCTTAAACGTCTATCCTCACCTCGCCCATTTATATAAAAATCAATTTAACAAGAAGATACAAAATACCTTATTTAAAATAGAGAAATTATATTTAGTTTCAATTATAAAGTAATGACGCAAGTCGATTGATAGAAGCCATCCGGTGCTAAAGAGTTCATTACGGATAAATGAATATTATTAATTTCCATAACACCAAAGTCATAATCATTAAATTTCTCCAATATTTCAGTCCCGTCGAAGCTTTCCCTTTTCTGTTTTGTTGGCCTGCCGTTTTCTATTGTTTTCCCTCTATATTTAGAGTTTAATAGAGTAACGTGTATTTTAACATTATCGCGACCAAACTCATTTGCCATAAGTCCTGAAAATATATTTTTGGATTTATGGGTAAGCAGAAACATCACTCATTATATTAGTACACCTAGGACCACTAAGATGATAATGTTGCAAAACACAACCACAATACTGGTCAATCAACCCGATTGTGACGAATATCTGTAGACTTGTTATTGTCGATACCTGTCAGAAGTAAAAACCTAAAAATAACTTTTATTTTTGGTCATTAAACTTCGAATTCATGTATTAAAATTAAATAACATATAAACAAAGAATTAGGATCGTTCAATAAAAACGACGCCTTTAATGGTCGATCTTAAGTATAATGTCATGGGTTCCTCCCAGAAAAATATCAATAAAACAAACGCAGAAACCTGTCAGCTCCTTGTCCATGGCTGGCTTCTGGTGTATCGCATGTTTATGAACAGATTATATATATATATATATATATAAATATAATAACCACTCATATACATATAAAGCCATCATAACGGCATTTGTTTTTACATTAACCCTAGATTGCTTTTGTTTTAACGTACACGTACATTTCTAAATTTGCACTGTGTCATGACAAACAAATTACATAAAAATACTATAACTCCTTAATACCCACCTTTTTTAAAAAAGAACTGAGCTATAGCGTCGATCATATCCTGTAAAACGCCTTTAGGGGCGTCATCTTCTTGAACAGAGCCATACAACACATGTATTTCTTTGGGATCATCATTCATATACGACAATCCTTTTAATCGTAACTTAAGTGGCAAGTGACTTTTTATCATGGGCCTAAAATACAGTTTAATTCAGCCAATGCATAAAAGTACTTTCATGAAACTTACTGTAATTAATTAAAAACGTGTTTATTAACCTAACCCTTATGGCGCGAAATTTTTTGTAGTCTATGGCCAGTACAATTTTAGTTATCTGTGGCCGCACCTATTTTGCGCGTATGAATATGTTGGTTCACCGCTGCCTTTTAGGCGATTGATCACACCACGATGGCCAAGCCAACTGCCAAGGTTCTGACCACTTGGGTTTAGTAATGGATAACGTTAGTTAGCTTAAAGTATTAGTATCTGATCTTTCAGAGCAGTCAAGTTCTACAAAACGAATAAAGAAACATAAAAACCACAAAGAAAAAGTTAACATTTGAGCCAAACATTAGATAGTTTTAGGTATTTATTTATCATGGTTTTAACTATCAAAAATATATCATTATTTTTAAACACGGCATTAACCACGGTACTAAGTGTTAAGTATTATATAATTTTTAACTATATAATATTTTACAGAAACGTACTTATTCCTTCTGTGCAACCAACATACCTTAAAGTCTTTTAAATTAGAGTAAGTTGTATGAATAATATTTACTAACTAAAAAGTGGGATCTGGTTGTGGAGATGAGTCTACTCACTATTCATCATTCGTGTAATACATTATATAATGCAAAACATTACCAACAAAGACAGCGGTAAGTTTAAATAATGCGTTTATTCAATATGCTTGTATGTGTTATATTTATGTGTTTTAAATTAATTAATTAGGTATCATTATTAGTACCTATACATAATTATTTTGAAATGTGAACATATCAATACCGTATAATTATCAAAATTAATTATGTTTAATTTGGTTAAAGTATAAAGTGGAAATGTTTTACTTGAAATTTAAATAGAATATATTAGTTACTAAACGCCATCTCACTAAGTAATGGCTTTATACATAGATATTTACTGGCTTCATATTACTTAAGTACTTATAATATTGTTACAGATTGCACTAATATTTGGAATAACGGGTGCCTGCCGAAGACAGGAATTTTACAACATGTAATTTAAAGACGTCGAAGTTTTCGAATCATCAATTTTAGTTAAAATTTGGAACACAAAAAACAAAATAGACCGATCTTTTACCATAACGGGCAAATATTACCAATTATGTAAACAATACAATAATTATGACGATATTTTCGGAGTAGTTGTCGCCCGGGCCCGGCGGGAGACGCCAACCCTTTAAGGAAATAATGTCCCTTTTTAAGAAAGGGGAGATTCTGACACTCCCCTGCTGCTTGGCCACTCGGTCACAAATCTGCCTGATTGCGTGGCTGACAGGCTAGGATGTAGGGGTCCCTGATTAAAAAAACAATACGTAGAACTGTGACCAAATTCATGTAGCAATCCTTCCTTCTTTTTGAATTACAATTCTGGGAAATGCACCCAACAAGAGTTGGTATAAACAAATTTGGAATGTTGGGTAAAACGATAGCCAGTTATCTTAATCTTCCAAACTCAGATTCGTACACGGGACATTGCTTTCGCAGAACTTCTGCGACCTTACTAATCGATGCTGGCGGAGACATAACAGCACTAAAGCGTGACGGAGGGTGGAAGTCAACAACAGCTGCAGAAGGCTACATAGACGATTCTATAACAAAATCTTAATATCCAATTCGATACTCAATTCCATAGAAAATAATAAAAATGAAATTAATATAAACATTCCATTGTCAACCCCGACAACGACTAGCTCTTATAGCGCCTCAGCCAGCCTGTTATTCAGGTTCAGTTTCATAAGTGCAATATTCAAAATGTGTAATTATTATAATAAACAATTTGTTTCTTTTATATTGCATTTTATTTAATGTACCTATAGCCATGAGATTAAATAAAGTAGTGAATGCAACTGCATCTAATTAGGTATTAAAACACTCGTGTGATCTTATTTTGAAACTCGCCTGCGGCTCGTTTTAAAAAACTACTCTCATGTATTATATTTGTATTATATTATGACAGTTGCATAAACTATAGTCCAGTCAAAATAGGCATTTGACTTAGCCAAAATTCGCATAGAGCTGAAAATTGGCAGAGACGTTAAATACATCATTATAAATGAAATGTCAAAAATCCCCTTCGATCCTACTTCTGCAAAAAATTTTATTCAAGGTCAAATGTATAAAATTAAGGTTTTTTCCATTTTTCTCGAAAACAGTTAGTATTATCGTGAAAATAGATCAAACAAAAGTTGTAGATCATACAATTTTCTACAAAAATGGATCAGTCACTTTTTCTCTTACGACTCACCATTCATGAGATATCGCGGTTTTAATCATTAGAAAATTCATATTCTACATAATATGCACACATTTCCGCACCACCTATGAGGTAATGTACTTGTCAGTTGTCGCATTTTTTTTAACGTGGTTTCCCAGTAGGTATACTCCACGATCTATTGTAATAAAGAAAGTTTGATCAGATCGTATCCTATTAATTGAAAGAATAGTAATATTGCTAATGATTAAAGTGGAATAGGTTGTTTTTTTCTACATGTCATTATATAAGATAATTGTCTAATTCTACTTCAACAGTTATTTCTTCGTCTTCATTCTCTTCTTCTTGCAGAATTTCTGTTTGCTGTTCTAAGAAAAGGGATGCATCAATTGTCTCTTCATTAATATCATAAATATCTTCATCTGTTGTATTTGTTTCAATATTGGAGCAAGTCTGACCCTGACAATTGATGCATACTGGCGAACAAAATAATCCTACTTTTTGACAGCCACAATTCTTACTACAATCCGTCTTGCATTTACAAAAAATAGTATTAAGTAGTTTTTCTGGAGCAGGCGGGAGTAAAGTTTGAATTGGCTCCAAATAATTATCTGTTAATTTCCAACCCCATTCTTCTGGGTCCAGCTCATTGCCTAGCCACACTTGATAATACACACGATACAAGTGTTGAAAGGCAGAAGCAGATGTTGGAGGTAGACAAGACAACTGTACTGTTTTATTGTTCCATGCAGATTTTACAAACTTTAAATATCTATATTTGTCTATGGAATCACTTTTTTTTGGAGCACCATACATTGCAAGAAGAAAACGAATTCCATTTGTAACGATGTCGTGTGGAGAAGAGTCAATCTTTGTGAATACTTCTGCGCAATGAATTAAATCATTACGTTTTTCAAACAATTTAAATACTGATGTTTTACCTCTTTTAAAAATTGCTGATGTAGTATCACAACCAGTTATTGCATGTAAAAATAAAATATGAGCTTGACATTTCGGATATGCAGTCAGACTTTGTGATGAATATATTGTTGATTGTACTTGAGCTTTCCCAGGTTTTAAAAAGTAAATAATTTTATCATTTGGAGTCCGTGCAGTCAGTAATATCAACAAATCAACATCTTCCCCAACAACGACAGTTGTATTTGAACTTTTCCATTATTCTATTGCTGTTTCAATTATAAGGACATCAGCATCATTATCAGCTTGTTTTATTGAAATACCAGCAGCTGTAAATTCTTCACATAGCATTAAAATGAAGCGAGACTTATTGTGAGTATTTGCAAGAAATTGTTGTTGGTTTGTTGGAACTTTCATATATCGATCAAAAACGATATCAACAGATGAAGATGTTTTTGTAGTCCGACGACGTTGATCTGCAGCTTTAATATTTTTCGTATGATTAGTATAGCCATCAAATACAATCGTACTGTTATGACCAAAATGTCTTTGTACATACTGAACATATTTTTATTATTATAGTGGCTGATAGTTGTACATATTAATTTCAAATGATCTACTTAAAATCGTCGATTTTTTAAAATTACTTGCTCCAAAAAATAAGTCAAGGACTCCGGAATATCTCTGTTAATATTTTCAAACATTTGACTCGGCGGGGGATAATTATCATTATCAATCACTACAGATTGAAAATCCTCTCGAATAATTGCTGCAGCAGCTTTCAATATTCTGAATCGTTCTTCGTTTGTATTTTGTTTTTTATTTTCATACCAAGCTTTACTAAGAATATCGTACTGATTATCAATAAAACAGATAATTGTTAAGCTTCCTTTCTTCTCAGGTATAATAATTTTATCATCATACTTTAACTTTAATCTACTTTTAATTGTTTTATTATCTATAGTTGGATTTTTGCCGATATCTTTCAATTCTTGTAATGAAAATTGGCAATCATCATTATTTTCAATGTACTGAAATATTTCCTCCATCGCCAAGTTTACTGAATCATCTTCGGGACGACCGACTTTATATCCCGTGGTAGGTCTCAGAAAGATATTATAACAGTTATTGTGGTACTTAGCTTCAGCAGCAACTAAGTCAAATTCATACCCAATGCGGGCAATAACAGCTTTTGCTACGTCATCAGAACGAGTCCGAGCTACCTTTAAAATGGAATCTTTAAATTCAAGTGTAGATACGTTATAAATTTTACGACGAACATTCTGCGCTTTCTTCTTTTCAGCTTCTTCATTTGCTTCATCGCCGCAAAATAAACAACATTTTTTAAAGTTGAAATCTGGCTCACTTACTCGTGCTCTAGTATGAGGTGGACTTATCGTGGATGTACTACCTTCTTCTGTCTCGCGCTGTCTTTTAGCTGCAACAATACTACTCTTTCGAGTATACATTTTACGACACTGCACGTGGACTGTCACAGATTGCTTGTCTTTTAAGTATTCAAAAAAATTATCATTTCTTTCAACACTTGCATCAATCAAAGTCTTCATTCCACGATCAACAACAACGACTTCACTTTCTTTCAAAGGTTTATCACAAAATATAAAACAAACTTGTGACATTTTGTTTAAATTATTTAACAGCACAAATTAAAATTGAAAATATTACCAATAAGCACGTCTGCTCACTGCACAGGAATTTTCAAAACTAACAGTATATTATACTGAGTCATTTCAATTACTTCCTTCAAAAATAGGCAGGTATGCGACCCTCCACACTCAAACAATGACGTAGCTAGC